CTTATCGGTGTCATCGTCAAACAATGCAATAGTTTCTGGAGGTGGAAATGAGGTGAATCTAAATCTGAAATTGATGTTACTCTTTAACTACTCGGATTGCCAAAAGTGAAATAGTTATTTTTAAGCTCATGATATGGAATACACATTCACTTCGCCCCGTTGCTTCACTTCAAAATGAGGCCATGGAAGATGTGATGGCTGTTATATTCACTCAAGGAGACGGACACGTGGTGGCAGCAACGAAGGTCAGTCCCAACTGAACAGAATAGCATCTTCATCATGAGGTTGCTACAGAAAGCCTCAGTTTGATGAGTCTTTACTATTTTGCTTCACTTTACTTCATTTGCGTTCCTGCAAGCATTTTGCTAGATTGTTGACTTTTTGAATTACTCTTATGGACAGCAGTAAGCTTAGGGTATCTGTAAGCATGTGCTCGCAATCCTTATATAGTATACATGAAAATGAGCAAGTTCAGTCCCTCAGATGAGGTCTCTGAGATGAGGTTTGGTAAATTTTACGGCTGTGGCTAAGTTATTGTGTTGTTAGTATTAATAGTGGACGATCTGATCAAGTTGTATGATGACATTTTTCAAAAGGATTGCTTTCATTTATGAAAACCTACTTTCTGGTACCACTGTGCACGTATGGCTTCTGTGGGGTTCCTCAATGTAGTTGATATATAACGATGTGGAGGCGGGCCTATGTGCAGCTCAGTGTTTAGCTCTCACAGAGTAGTGGTAGGCGAGGATATCCTTAGCTGCAAGTTGCGGCAAAAGATGCGTCGTAAGAAGAATCAGGTGCCCAGGTTTCGTGCCAGGACCCAATCGCGTCAACGTGGCAGAGGTGCTTGTTAAGTAAGAAAAAACCCTACTAGTTCTTGCACGCTGCACCTGACGAACGATATACAGCCTTGGAAGGTTCGGTGAGAAGGGTGGGAGCCGGATTTGGCCCTCGGACTGTGCGTGCTTGCTACTGCACTATCTCCGCTCATTACAAAACATTAATGAAGCAAAAGCTACTGTCTCCTAATCGATATACTGCATAAGCATTGTTATTGTTACTATTTTACAGACAGGCGAGCTGTTTCTGTGGGATGTGGCTGGATGCGAGTTGTTGGAATCTCGTAAAGGGCATGAGCGAACAATCTGGGGGCTTGCACATTCTCCAGACGGCAAGGTGACGAATATATATGCCAAAAATTATCATTTGTAGCAAATTTTACCATTTTCAGCAGTTGTTGTCCGTGTCATCAGACAAACGAGCCATATTTTGGGCGTACGAGGTTGCTGCTGAAGGAACCCGGTATGTGTTATGGATCACTTATTCTCGCAGTTGTTGAATTTCTCAGTGGCTCATGAGGTTAATGTCAGGCTGGGATAAATAAGTCCAGAATATGGTGAAAGACTCGCTGGCATCTCGCTTTTGCTGCTCGATTCAGTCAATGCGTTTTTTTGCTTTCCTCGTTCGATATCTCTATATGAAGACTGCCAAAGCCTCTATCGTTTTGGAGACACTGTACCATAAGCCGCTCCGCAGCCGTAAAGATGTGGCGTTCCCACAGGGAGACGGGCAAGAGAATCGTAATTTGCCGCTCCGCGCGGCGATGGGCGCGGCGTTTTCTTAACTCGTGTTAACCTGTCGATTGGAGCACCGGACTTCATGTAGACCCGTCATCGTAGACATTCATGACTATTTTCGGTTCTGAATTGCCTGTTGTCGCCATCTACTACCTGGAACCATCGTCATTTGCGGGCGCGACGTCGCACGCGACGCCCACCAGCGCGGTGAATTACGATTCTCTTGTCACATACCCGTTCTCACCACTGCGAGTGCGCGGAAGGTAAAGGATTGCGATAGGTGGAAACGCTCTCTGTTTCCGCAAGTATGTCGCTAGCTCCGAGTCTCTGCGAGCGCAGAGCAAAGTGCAAAGTGGGGTTTCTCGTGTTGGAATCTCCCGGTTTTCTATTGTTTAGTGTACATTTCGGGCGCGTAATGAGTACTTAATATGTCCCACGTTATGTTCTAGCTTTGAATTACAAATAAGGTTTCAGCAAGAGGTTGACACTTCGTGAAAATCGAATACTTGAGGTTCCGGATGAGGCGCTTTGTTGCGCGTTTTCACCTGATGGCAAGGTTGGTATCCTGTTCTTGGAAAACATTCTAACGCTGAGAGAAGCTTAAACTTTTCAGTTTGTTGTTATTGGCTTACTGGACAACACGGCAGCCGTGTATTTCTATGATACACTGAAATTTTTCATCTCCTTATATGGCCACTCATTACCTGTGACTTGTGTCACTGTGAGCCCTGTAAGTTCTCTTCACAGCATTTTTCTGTCCGGTTGAAATGACAGGTAATTACAGAACAGTAAGCTTGTCGTAACGGGATCAGCCGACAAGTCTATAAAAATTTGGGGACTTGACTTCGGAGACTGTCATAAATCGTTCCACGCCCACGATGATGTGTAAGTATTTTCTACACTTTTTCTACTTTCTGACAAGTGTCTCCTCTTCCCCATTTCTTGTTTTTGTGGCGATTACTACTGATGATTGTTCAGTGCTTGAAATTAGGTGTTCAGTGTTTCGGCTGTAATGTTCTCTCCATCTGATGAGATGCTGGTTTGGTCAGCAGGCAAAGATGGCAAAATCAAACAGTGGGACGCTCAGAAGATGTGCCAAGTACAGGTATGTGAAAGAGCTGTTTCTATTGCTGCTTTCTGAGCGAAGCCATGCTTTTTCTACTACAATGAGTAGTTTGCTCTCAAGAATATTTGAGGTTTTTCTTTCAAAGAAATGTCAAAGTGTGAACTTATAGGTGTTGGATCGACACTCAGCTGAAGTTCGAGCTCTGGCTCAGTCAGATTCCGGCAATTTCTTGGTGAGCTAATGATTTGTTGTTTCGCTTTCATTAAATTCGTAGTTATCTATCAATTTGCGAGACTTTAACTATTTCACTGGTTTTCTTGGAATAGTTTTCTGGTCCCAGGTGCTTTGGTCGTATGTAGCTGTACTACGAGTAAGGGCAGTTGAGCAGGGACAAGGATCGCGTGCTTTAACACAGCCACACAGCCACTAGGGAAGGAGCCCAGCTATGTCAACTGGTTCTCATTCTGGCCTCTGTTTCCGAGATTCCTTTTTTCGGTGATTTCGATAGGCTGGGCATGACTTCGTTTCACAATTGAACTTGTTGGGGCTTTATACTTCCAGTATCGCTTTTGTTTGCTAGTATGGACAGTTGTCTCTTTTGTAGACCCTGCTGGAAGTTAATTGGAGATCTCAGCAATTTCAACCACTTTCCTTGCAGGCCGTTCCGCTGCGCAGGGTTCGCCTATAATAGGACGCGCCAAAGTTATGTGCGTAGAGCTATAGCCTTTTTGGGTTTTGCAGAGATTATCACACAACTAGTCATGAGCTGTTGGATAGGTACTGTTCTATCCCTCGTTTGAGTTACACCTCTAACATCTCCTGCGTTTGGAACAACCACATCTCAGAACCACCGAACCATGAGGCAGCGTTCAGACTTCGATGACGCGCTGTAACGGGCTGTAAAACGCGTCGACGCGTTTCCACTGCAGGGGCGTCTCAGTGCTGTAGACGCGAATGCAGCCGCAGACGGGAATCAACCGGCGTTTGTGTTTCGAGAGAGTATAGGATAACAGGAGGGTAAGCGCTGCCTTCACACAGTCTGTTGCTTCCTATTCCTCACTACTCTCCCAAAGCACTAGCTGACAGTGGCGATCGATACCGGATGTGTGAGTAGGCAAAGCATATACTCCTACCATATCTCTTGAAGCACGAAAGGGCGGCGCTGGTCGATTCCCGTTTGCGACTGCACTCGCGTCTGATGTACTGAGCGCTGTTGCAATTGTGGCGCGTCGGCGCGTACTGCAGCGCGTTACAGCGCGACAGCGTGCCTTTGAAAGCGTTACAGCTCTCGATATGCATCATGGCAAGGTATGAATGCTGCCTGTTCGTTACATCGCACAAGTGTGAACGTCGGACAACAGCCAGAGCACTTGAGAAGCAAAAAAAAAACGTGAAGCGCAAGCTTCTAGTATTGTGCATTACAGCTACCAACTATTAGCTATTTCATGGGCAATATACAGGGGGGGGGGCAAAAAAAAGACACTTTTCTTCCTTGACTTTCGAGGCGCTATAAGTTACACTTTATTGAATTCTGATCGGACATTTTACCACCATATTAAAGAGCATATTAAATACTATCATGACACTCCGCCACAGCCTTCTGGACGAGCGCCATCGAGAGATTCTGGCACGCGACCGCGATGTGGTGCCTGAGATCAGCGAGATAGTCGATTTCTCCGCCACCGTAGACCACCCTATTGAACTCCGCCCGAACCGGGTAATTGAGGGGATTCAGGTCAGGTGACCTACTTGGATATTCCATCTTCTTTAGGTACTCAGCCCCCTTCCATTCCAAGTAGGCGAGAGTTTCCAACGCCCTTCGATTCCATGTGGTGGCACCCAATGCTGTAGCAGTACAAAGTTTCCAAGAAGGTACGGGCGACCACATGTGAGGAGAATATTCTTCACGAGTTGCCCATGTAACGCCAGCGCTCACCTTCCAGGTCCGGGAGGGCTCCGCCGGACAGAAAATATTGTCTTTCCATTCCAGATACGTCCCGTCCATACCACCAACCCGCGCCTTGGCGACTGCGGTGAAGATGATATCCTGGACCGTAGCGACGTTGCCTGAGCTGCTCGATGTCGGGAGGTCTTTCAGATCAAGAGCACTGGTCTCCAGGTAGCTATCCATGGGTGGCTCCACACCAGAAGTTTCGATAGCCTGTTTGGAAGTGCACATATGAATTCCAAAGGTCTTTCTTCCAGTCAGGCTTCGATTGATGGATGACGTTCATATTTACTTTACAGGAAAGTGATGGCACGCAGCCGACAGCTCAGTCGCTTATAAGAGCGAACATCTTGCGGTATCTTCCGCCCTGTACTTCACTCTCTCTCTCGCTCTGTCGGCTGCGAACCCACTTTTGCTGATATGTGACTCGGTCGAAATGTCTTTTTTTTTATTGCCCCCCCCCTGTATATCCCACAGCAAGCAGCTTCATTTAAGTAACTGTAATTTTTTTTTTGGAAACAGTATTTGAGAAACGGAAAACAGCATTATGCCGCAATGAGCTAATTGCTTACTGGTTTTAGAGACCTTTCTTTGAACCTTTTCCAGTTCGAAAATATAACAGGGCGGCGCGGAGAGGCGGCCAAAAAAAGTCTTCTTTGCCTCGGCATGGACTTTTCAAGGCTGCTATAAGTTACACTTTATTAAATTTTTATCGGACATTTTTACTACCATATTAAAGAGCACATTAAATACTATAATGATACTCCGCCACAGCCTTCTGGAGCAGGAGCGAGTTGAGCGAGAAAGATCGTTTGTTGATTTCTCCGTCACTGTAGACCACCCTGTTGAGCTCCGCCCGAGCCGAGTAATTGAGGGGGTTTAGTTCAGGACCCCCGCTTAAATGCTCCATCTTTTCCAGGTACTCAACGTTCTTCCATTCCAAGTAGGCGAAAGTTTTTCCAACGCCCTTCGAAATGAAACGGTGTTGTCACCAATCCGGTCAGCAGTGACGCAAAGTTTCCTGAATAAGGGTACGGCGTGACACATGCTGATGGAGCAATATTCTTTCACGAGTTGCCCAATGTAACCGCCAGCGCTCACCTTCAGTCCGAGGTCCCACGCGAGAAAATATTGGTCTTTCCATTCCAGGTACGGCCGGTCCACACCATCAACCCGCGCCTTGGTGAATGGGGTGAAGATGATGTCCTGGACCGTAGCGACGTTGCCGGAGCTGCTCGATGTTTGAGGTCTTGCAGATCAAGAGTACTGGTCTCCAGGTAGCTATCCATGGGTGACTCCACACTAGAAGTTTCGCAGCTGTTTGGAGGCCACGTGAATTCCAAAGGCGTTCTCCACTCAGGCCGCGACTGGAGATGACTTCATATTTTGGTGTACATGAAGGTGAATGGCGGCAGCCGGCTCCTGCTTATAGAGGAAGATCTTGGGTATCTTCCGCCCTGGTACTCATATCCACTTCCTCTGTCTGGGCTGCGAAAACTTCGCTCATATGTGACTCGGCCGGAATGACTTTTTTTTGGCCCCCCTGTATACTTTGATGGGTTCTTGCCATTTGCATGAGTAGTCATTGGTGATATTAATTTGTGACCTAAGTAGGAAGTGTTTTAGTTTTCTGCTTCTCATGACAAGTCTTTGCGCTGCTGGGAGCTGACGGAGGAGATAATCGTGGTAGAAGAAGAGGAAGAGATGGAGAGGTTAGTTTTGTTCTGAACAGCAGTTTACGCTTCCTAACTGTAATATATCATAGAATATTTATATTGTCAGTAGTTACAATATATCAGCGATGGAGAGTCATGGCTGCGCACTTCATTTAAACGTGGCGGCAGCTGCGCTTCCATAAGGATACTGCAATGTCAGAAGAGCCGCAACCATGAATTTGTCTAGTACAAGAAACAGAACATACCCGTGTCAAATGGAAATATCTCACGAACAACGTATCCTATGCCATGTTCAAGTGAAATCCGCAGCCACGCCCACTCCACCGCTGGGAAGTGTAGTTCCCAAAAAAGGCTCCATTCAAACGTGACGGCACCAGCGCTTCTGGAGTGGGCGTGGCTGCGGATTTCACTTGAACATGGCGTAGGATGCGTTGTTTGTGAGATATTTCCATTTG